ATTATTGGTTTTACTAGTCTTTAAAAATAATTTCTTTCTTATTCTCAGATCTTGCTTATTCTCTTTATTTATTGTAGAATAATATTTGGAAAATGTGAATAATCATAATTTAGAAGATTTATTATTATAGCTTATCACCCATCACCACAAAAGCCAAGAGCACTTATAAATAAAATATTAGTGCATTTCCTTTAATTTTATATACAAAATGCATAAACCTACAAGGTATGTGAGATATATATATATATATAGAGAGAGAGAGAGAGAGAGAGATAAACAAACAAATCAACAGTATTAGCCAAGAAAGCATAGGTGGCTCTATTTCTAGTTCTGCCACTATCTTCTTTGGTAAATTTAGGCAAGACTCTTACTTTTTCTCAGTTTCCCAATTTCTAAAATAGCCTCTTGAATGAAAATAATTCTAGGGTTTTTGTAGGTTTTTTAAAAGATTTTATTTAATTATTTTAGATAGAGAGCAAAGTGAGAGAGAGAGGATGGGGGGCAGAAGGAGAGGGAGAAGCAGACTCCCTGCTGAGCAGGGAGCCCTAATGCAGGGGCTCCATCCCAGGACCCCAGGATCATGACCTGAGCCGAAGGCAGATGCTTAACCTACTGAGCCACCCAGGTGCTCTGAGGTTATTCTAGTTTTAACAATACACGATCTGTGAAAGCTCAGGACTGCAAGTGATACTACGAATCATACTCTGTAAATCCAAAATTAGGCAAAGGCATAGAAAACATGACTATAAAATCTAATGTTCTGTAAATTGGTTAATCCATTCTTTTGGCCTCACAGTTTATTTTGTTCTATTTCCAATCCTTTCTGATGATTTGTACATCAATATCCAATCAGTACACAGGTGGATAATTGCAGACAAACATCCTAAACTTTTTTCTAGTAAAAATTAATTTCCTAGGGGACACCTGGGTGGCTTAGTTGCTTAAGCCACTGCCTTTGGTTCAGGTCATGATCCCAGAATCCTGGGATCAAGTCCCACATTGGGCTCCTTGCCTGCCAGGGAGCCTGCTTCATCTCTGCTTGTGGCTCCCCTTGCTTGTGCTCTCACGCGCTCTCTCTCTCTCTCTCTGACAAATAAATAAATAAATAGAATCTTTTTAAAAAATTAATCTTAGAAATCCTTAAGGTAGGAAAAATATGGGTGGAACAAGGCTGTGGAAATTCCATGTTAGGTCCTACTCAAAAATTATTTTGTACTTAATAACTGTAATCAAACAGGTGTCACTTAACATATTGACTGCCTTGTCTAGCCGGAGGGTAAAAAAAAGATTGTAAGAGGCACATAACAGTAAGGTGTGTGATGGTTTTAAAACATGGCTACCAGTTATTTGGCAGTCCTTTCATCAAAAGTTGGAATCTATAGTCCCTCCCCTTGAATCTTAGAAGAGGACTTATGATTATTTTGACCAGAGAAGTATCAAATTTGATCCCATGTGACTTCCAAGGTTTGGTCATAAAAGGCCATATAGCTTCCACCTCGTTTACAGGAAGACTTGCTTTAAAAGCCCTGAGATGGCCATGTTGGACAGGCTATATACGGGAACTTTGGTTGATAGTCCCAAATGAACCTGTCCTTAAGCCATCTCAGTCTCAGCTGTTGTAGGATTCAGCTGTTTGAGTCACCTATAGCCTTTCAAGATATCCTCAGCCAAGCCATTGTAGCTGAGGCTGCAGATGTCCTGAAGCAGAGAAGGGTAGTCCCTGATATGTACTTTCTGAATTTCTGACTCATAGAATCTGTAAGCATAAATATCAGTTGTAGTTTACACCAGTGAATTTTGGGAAAGTTATTACCTATCAGTAGAAACTTGGAAGAGCTACATGTTATGCTGCAGATGACAGCCACAGGCACACAATAGTCATAAAGCCAATATGTTATCAAGTCAGCCAAATGGAACTGGGCAAGTGTGAGAAAAGGTGAGAAAACAAATAAGACTGTCCCCATATTGATAGAGCATGTGCTCTTCAGTTTAACCAGATTCCTGCTCAGCTGGCTTCACTCACATATATGTTACCTGTGACCATGTGAGCCACAATCCTTGAGCCAAAAGAGTCTACTGGGCCCTAGGACCTTGCGAGGTGCTAAAATTGTATTATCAGTGGAATTTACATGGGACTAGCAACAGTAAGGCAAGGTAAAGTCATCTCATCAACAATGATAAGTAAGTCTCCTACTATTCCTCTAAGTTCATCCCAAAGTCTAAGGGAAGGTAGGAATGGTACTAGCTAAAATCTGAAGCTAGGAGGGTCAAGGGAATGCTCTTGGCCCATATATAGTCCAGCTCAATTAATCACTTTAGGAAACTATACAGGACAGAACTTCTTTTCTACCAGAGTCTTAAACAATAAGAGCGAATGGTCGTGGGTCTCTGGTATCTCAAGATATTTGTAGTCCTTGAAATAAAGAAAAGCTCTCTAATAGATAATGAGGTGATGAATATTAGTTGCTTTCACATTCAGACATCTTAGTCTTATAGCTCTGTTATTATTTCAGACAAGTTAGAGTAGGAGTAATTTCCTATATTCTTAATACTTAGTTTCGATTTATCAGTAATTGCTTAAATTTAGAGAAAAAGAGAACTATAGTAAGATTGCAGCAACAGAGCCTCAAGAAGACACACAGAGAACTATTCTAGGCTGGAACAGAGATACCCACACAGAGCCTACCATCTCCCAAACCTGGAATTCATGCAGGAGGGTATAATGAGAGAAAAATAGGATAATAACTACAATACAACTGGGCGCATTTCTAGCCAAATACATGTAAGCTATATGATGGTGACATGGAAAAAGATTTTAGCAAAGAGCTTCCTCTGATGGGAATCTGACATCTCCACGGTTCGATTAAGGGATAACTAGTTAAGGCAAAATTACAGAACAGGTTGCAAAATTACACAACAGGTTTTTCCCCCCAGTAGCTGTCTCAATAGTACTCTTTCTGTCAAGCTCCTCCCCCTTTTTCTACTGGGTAATGGGATTCTTTAACCACATTTCAATCCTGTTCCCCAAATTTTTAGTCACTTTTGTTTATTAAAATAGGCCTGTCTGGTCTCAGTGCATGTAACTCTTTTGGTTCCTTTATCACAACAAACACCTACTAAATATTCTTTTAATAATAAATGCTGCTTTCCTAAAGACATTTATTTTTCTAACTCAAGGTCCGGGGCAGGAGCGGAAGGGGTGGAGGTTGTTGCAGACCCTTCCCGGTAACCGGAGAAGAGTAGACTCCAAGCGCGGGGAGGTGAGGCACTAGCCGGCCCTCAAATTGGAGACGACCAAGCTGAGTGACCGGGCAGTGCGGTGCAGCTGAGCAGAAACAGGCGGAGGGGGTTGTTGTGCGTGTGCGCGAGGCTAGCGGAGTGGGCGGGTATTCCCGCCGCACAAACCGCCGGAGTTGGGGGGCGAGCGCGTTGGTGACGCGGGGCGCTCACGTGACCTGGAGCTGCAGAGCGACGCAGCCTTCGGTGCAGTCGTCACTCGCGTCTGGGTACCGGTTCCCCGCTGTCCTGCGCCTGGCGGGCTGGCATAGGGCCCAAGGAAAGCGGAGCAGGTAAGTGCTCCGAGGCCCGCGCGCCGAGCCCAGGGCGGCTGTGGTCGGCCTACCCCGGAGGCCAGCGCAGGGGGATCGGCGCAGAGGGTTCCTACCAGCTTTCTCCACACCCGGCATTCTGGGGAACATCAGTAGTGGCCCCCTGGGGTGGGGGTGCTGGGGCGGCCGGGAGGGCAGCAGAGCAACTAAAAGCGATTGGAAATCACCCCCGAGTTCTTACAGTAAAATGGTGAGCCTCCGGGGCGGGGTGGGGGGGGGGAGGTTAGGGGTGAGGGCGGGGGATGCACATAGGGGTGGCAGGGGGACCCGGGACCCGGAAGGGACCAGGTGGTGGCGGGTCGGCGCCAAGCGCTTGGCCAGTCTCCGCTCTCTCCACGTCGGCCCTCTGCAGGTTTGCGGGTGTAAGTGTCAAGTGTCGCGGCGGCGCCCTCACGGCGAGAATCGGGAGAAGGAGACAGCAAGGATAGGCCCAGGTCGGTGCTGGGGACAGTGTGCGGGGGCAGGTGCAGAGCCCAGTTTGAGACCCCCCTCCCATTTACCTCATCTCCTCCCCGCCACCCCGTCCTCCATTTTGGTGCCTGCGGAGCTTGGGGAAAGAATCTTGGGAAAGGAAAAATGGTGGGCTTTGGGGGAGGGGGAAAAGGAGAGAGCTGGAGGGAGGGGCTCGATTCTGAGGCCTCCTAGAGGACGCCTGAAGCTCCTAAGGTGGGAAAAAAATAAAAATTTACAAAACTTTAGATATCAGAGCTCTGAATTCTGTTGGTCAGTGCACCAAGCATTCAGTCTCTCTCCTTGCCTTTGTCTTACTTGTGTTCAAAGAAAAACAACCAGGAAAAAAAATCTCATGGCAAATATCCACCAGGAAAACGAAGAAATGGAGCAGCCCATGCAGAATGGAGAGGAAGACCGCCCTTTGGGAGGGGGAGAAGGACACCAACCTGCGGGAAATAATAGACGGGGACAGGCTCGCCGACTTGCTCCTAATTTCCGATGGGCCATACCCAATAGGCAGGTCAATGATGGGATGGGTGGAGATGGAGATGATATGGAAATGTTCATGGAGGAGATGAGAGAAATCAGGAGAAAACTTAGGGAGCTGCAGTTGAGGAATTGTCTGCGTATCCTGATGGGGGAGCTCTCTAATCACCATGACCATCATGATGAATTTTGCCTTATGCCTTGATTCCTGCCATTTTCCATGAGATTAATACTGTGATTCAACACTGTTTTCTTTTTCCTTGCATTTTCCTGATACCTTTACTGATCCGTTTGCTGTGAACCTTATGTAATTTCCGTGTGTCAGGTGGATTCTGTGTTACCAGATTCCAGTTGAAGATTGCCTTGGCACCCAGTCGAAGTTTCTGTCAACAGTAGAGTTACCCAATTGCATGAAAAAGTGTCAAGTTAATAAAGCAATTAAAAAGCAATCTATACATTTATTATTGTTTCATTTAGAAGCATATGTATATATTCTGTGACCCCCCCAATCAGAAATAAGATGTCTCAGATGTTAATTAGGTCCCATTTCTCTATAGTTGGATAATATGTGAGTTTTTCCTTTTATTATCTGGAGTTTTAGAAGCAAAAACATTTTCAGGGAGTCCAAATATTGTACAGGTATATAATACTGGTTCAAAAAACTTTAAGAGTGAACTTTTAAGAATTTTCCAGTTTTAATTGAAAGAATAAACCCTCCTTTTATTACAGATATATTCCTTTTATTTTTTTTATTATTTTTTAAAAAGATTTTATATGTTTTTACAGAGAGAGAAAAGTAGGGGGAACAGTAGAGGGAGAGAGGGAAGAAGGCTCCCCACTGAGCAGGAAGTCTGATGCCGGGCTCCATCCCAGGATCCTGAGATCATGACCTGAGCCAAAGGCAGATGCTTAACTGACGGGGCCACCCAGGTGTCCTGAGATACATTCCTTTTAAAAATCAATCTTCTCTTTTGTGAAATGGGGAATAATGCTTGCCTTACAGGGCAGCTGAGTGGAATAAATGAGGTGTGGAACTCTGTTGGGCTGCCTGCTATGTAACTCCATCAGGTACTTGGGAAGGACTAAAGGGAGTTTTCACCTATGCTCTGAAGTCCAAAGGGCAAAAATAGATGGCTTCCACCTTGTCATTTCTCTGATATTTGCTATACTTCTCCCCTAATTAGTACCATGTCGGTGAAGCATACTTAACCTTCTTGGTTCTGATTCTGTTTCCATTGCTGATAGAGTCCTCAAGGTAATAAAAACCCATTGATTTCTCTTGATTCCCTGGTGAGCTAAACCTTGCCCCTTTGACTCCTATAGAAGTCTGGAGAATGTCTTTCTCCCTCACCTTTAAAGTTAGATTCAATGAGTACCATTCCTATGGTTCTTGGTCTTTTGTTGGTTCTTAATAAAATAGACCTTTTTGGTATTATTTTTGTGCTCTTCCTCTTCAGAGAACTCAGACATGAATGTGTTGGGCCCTAGCTCAGGAGATCTATCTAGATGTCCCACCATCCTGTGTCTGGAATTAACATTACTTCAAACCTCCCAAACACAAACAGTCTGAAATCTTTGTTTTGCCTGTGTTTTTACCCTTTGGAGGGATTTTCTCAAAAGAGAATCTGGGCAGACCTACCCAACCAGTTTAACAGACTTACCCAGAAGATACCCAAATTACATTAGGTGGACACATTTTTTTTTTAAGCTGAAACACTCCTGTTCTACCCCTTCCACACCTGAAACATGAAATTGCTTTGTAAGTTCTTAAAAACTATTAAATATTTGGCATTATATTAAATATTTTATTTGGCATTATAATTTTTAAGTGAGTGCATGCCCTACTTAAGACAATAATTATGTCTTAAACATCCTGGAGCTCAGTTTCTAGTGTAGTGCCTGATATAACATATACTTAATTATTCATTTTGACTGGTTAACTATAGTGGAGTTAGGAACCCAGCTTAATATTTTTCCTAACGGACTACCTTAATTAAGTGTACTAAGGCAAGTAGTTACTTGGAAATTATTACTTTTAATTTCCAGAGGAACATGGCAAGAAAAGTCTCTAAACCAAAATCTATAATTTCTGGGGCACCTCACTGGCACAGTCAGTTAATTGTCCTGACTCTTGGTTTCAACTCAGGGCGTGATCTCATGGTCTCAGGATGGAGCTCTGCATAGGGCTCTGACCTCAGCGTGGAGTCTGCTTGGATTCTCTTTCTCCCTCTCCGCTCCTCCCCCTGCTCACTCTCACATGCTCTCTCTCTCTCATAAAATAAAATAAGAGATCCACCAAAATCTGTAATTTCTTCTTTAAAAAAAAGATTTTACTTATTTTAGAAAGCAAGAGCAAGCCAGGAGGAGAGGCAGAGCAGGAGGGAGAGACCCAGTGCAGGGTTTGATCTCACACCATGAGTCATTACCTGAGCTAAAACCAAGACTTGGTCATTTAACTGATTGGGCCACCCAGGCACCCCCAAGATTTGTAATTTATTTTAAAAAATCTTGTATATACCCGTATTTATGTAAACACAGACCCCTTACTTGCATCATAATTACCTAGGGAAAATGTTAAAAATGCTGACACTTGGGTGCCCTTCCCACTTTCAACCCCCATTATCACCTCTTGAATCACCTGATCAGGAACTACTGTTTTGACAGTTCCTCAGGTGATTCTGATGCATCAGAGTTATGACAACATAGGATAGGGAAATACTAACAGTGATTACGGCATTTTACAAACTGTGATCTAAATTACCTTGCTTATTTGATAATACAATGAATATACCTTTCTAAAATATAATTCCAAAGATTGCATTAAAAAATCAATATGTATCTATAAACTAGTACTGCTTTTTTAAAAAAGATTTTATTTATTTATTTGTCAGAGAGAATGAGTGAGCACAAACAGGGAGAGCAGCAGGCGGAGGGAGAAGCAGGCTCCCCGCTGAGCTGGGAGCCCAATATGAGACTCAATCCCAGGACCCAGGCATCATGACCTGAGCTGAAATAGTTGCCTAACTGACTGAGCCACCCAGGTGTCCCTCTAGTACTGCTTTTTATCTTAAATTAACACATTATCATGAATCTATTATTAACAAGAAATAAATTATTAAATAAGCTAGGCATTATCAATTCTGTGCAAGCCTGTGCCCTTTTACACCAGTGATTTTATCTTAATCACCCTGGAGCTCAGTTTCTAGTATGGTCCTGGATACAGTAAATATTTTATTTTATTTATTATTTTTTAAAAGATTTTATTTATTTGAGAACGAGAGAGAGAGTGTGCAAGCACAAGCGGGGGTGGGGAGGAGGGACAGGGAAGAGGGAGAAGCAGATTCCTTCTGAGCAGGGAGCCCCATGCAGGGCTCCATCCCAGGAGTCCGGGATCTTGATCTGAGCTAAAGGCAGATGCTTAACTGACTGAGCCACCCAGGTTCCCCTATAGCAAATATTTAATAACAATCATTTAATTATTCTTTTGTTAATTTGATTATTAATATTAAATTTCTTAATTGTGCTTTATCTAAAATAATGTACAAACAATTATTTGATCTATATGGGTGATTTATTTCTTTGCACCCTCATGTTTTAAAAGTTTCTGTGAGGAACATTTAAAAAAATGTACTACTTCTAGGGGCGCCTGGGTGGCTCAGTGGGTTAAGCCTCTGCCTTCAGCTCAGGTCATGATCTCAGGGTCCTGGGATGGAGCCCCACATCCGGCTCTCTGCTCAGCAGGGAGCCTGCTTCCCCCTCTCTCTCTGCCTGCCTCTCTGCCTACTTGTGATCTCTCTCTGTCAAATAAATAAATAAAAACTTTAAAAAAATGTACTACTTCTATAATTTATGTAATACAAGGTCATTATACATATTTGGATTATGCAGAAAATACAAGGAAGAATATAAACAAAACCATAAGTCAGTTATCCAAAGAAAATACTTGTAAATTTTTTTACTATTATATTTACTTCTGATAAAGCCAGGCTCACAGCCTCTTAAGAGGAATACTTCCTCTTTCAAAGCCCTCCAATGAGACAGTTAGCTTTTTATGTTTATTTTTTCATCTTTCTTCTCCGCTCTTCAAAACTAATTGGATCACATTTGACCAACTTTCAATTAGCTTCTGTTTTTCAAAACTGTGAAAATAAGTCATCACATTTTAGCAGGTCCACTCTCAGTTGGCAAATTTAGGACCATTGAGCGAATATATTTAATAAAACAGGAGAGAACTATTTATCTATGAAACTTAAAAGTCCCATGAGTGGAAAAAGGACTAGCATACATGAATGAAATGGACAAAATCCCATGTCTAATCTCTGTCTCCTTTCCTGACATCCCATATATCATGTAATAAACATGCTGATTTTGATTAGAAGGGCTCCATTTTAAAATTTTCAAGCAGATTGCATGTAATGGAGTTACTATATCATGTATAACCAGTTGTAATGCTTTCTAAGTGATATAAATATACATAACCAAATAAATATGACATCCTTATCAATTCAAAAATCTTAATATTTATTTGTATTTTAAATTTTCTCCCAAATGTTGTTTGAAAACTTAAAATTTGTGTATTTAGAGAATTACTCTTCCTTGCACAAGCTGACAAAAAATAGTTTCTGTTTAGTGAATTTTGTATGAAGAGAGAAATCCTCAGATGTATGCCAATAATCATTTTCCCACAAATGAAAAGAGCTTTATTGTGTTTCGGATTGTGATATATGCATTCTAAAGTGGCTTTTGTTGTTGTTGCTTTGGAACAGAAGAGAAAATGTATTAAGAAAAAGTTTAAATCTTACTTTCAACATCCTGTTTACTGAGATTACATCAGTATAAATCAATTTTAGGTTTTCATTATTTCCTCTAATAAATACTCCTTACTTTCTAATTATAATAAGCTTTAATTTTTAAAAGGGGAAGCAAACTAAATGTGTAAATCAAAGATAGTGAAGGACTTTATGAAAACTGTTGAAAAAGCAACAAACAATAATAATAAATATCAAATTACTTCTGGATTATTTAGCTAGTAATATAAACCTAGTAGTTAGTACCATGACAATCCCTCATTTCACTTTACTCTGTTCGTTGGTAAAATGGAGATGATAATTTCCAGGGCTGCTGTGAGAACCAAAAGAGGTAAAGAGCATGTGAGTGAGCTGTATTTAACTGCTTCTTATGTTCATCAGCCCATGCGGGATACAAGTCCTTCAGATTCCCATTGGTTGTTGGAAGTAGCATCCAAAGTACGTGCCAGAAGCCAACACTGTTCCTCTGCTGGGGTGAGCCACATACCACCCCCCCACCTTACCCTACCACATCACTATAGCTTTCTCTGGATGGCTTAATGTGGCAATATCCCAGTTTGTCTCCTACTGATGTGTACACAAAGACTATCTACTTGATTTAGAGGACTAGTTTATGTGGGCACTATCTTAGTGATGTTTGGACCA